TAAGTTATTCAGAATTTTCTGCCCCATGAAAGCCCATAACAGCAATTTCTGGCCAAATGATATCATGCATACTATTAATTATAAATCCAACATTTTGTAGTATTCCAATAATTGAAAGGGATTCTACATATGTGCGATGTCATTCCTTTAGCTGACAGAGGGCAAACTACATATTTCTTCTTGGGTCAGGATGGCTTTAGTATTTTGGCCCTCTGGAAGATGCCTGGGTCACAAGCCCTTTTTGCTCTGACAAGCTGCCACAGGAAATTCAGAGAAAGTGCTTTTTGTGAGGCCCTTCTGAAGAGGAATGGAAGATCTGAGAGAGGAAAGAGATTGGGAAGATTACAGGGAGAAAGGTGGAACAAATTGTGTCAGCTGTGGAAGACAGGAGGAGAGGACAGAAGCCAAAGGCTCTCCTGTAGCATTAATCCAGTGGCAGTTTTTAGGCCATAGAATGAGAGATTGAAGCCTGTAGCTGCATTCCAGCTTAGGCCTGTCTTCCACAGACAAGCCTGAGAGGAGTCACTCACTTGTGCTGCATAACTGACTAAACTGTTAAGGTACCTGCTTTAGCCTCCGTTAAACTTGGATTTGTGGCACTCAAGCCATTCAAGCTATAGCTTTAACTCTGCTCTTAGACCAATGTGTTTAAAAATAATTGAATATGCTTCATCCTAAAAAACTTGTGTCAGCACAGCCTCCACAGATGCAAATAGATTTTCCACTGATTTATGCCAGGTCTCCTACTGGGTACCTCCACTGCAAATGCTTTCTTCATATTTGAACAGACTATTCCCTTAAGGCCTTTCTCCCATTTTGTTGGGCACCTCTTTGTATTTCCCACTCATCAAAATGCAGTATGAATATGGTATTCATCATTCTGATTCTTCCCATATTTGGAATGAGTTCCAGACTATTTGGCTGAAAGATGTCCTGGCCTGGAAGCATGATGAAAATTATAATTTCTTGGATTAATGAAAAGCAGTAATAGTTGATTAAAAAGACTCAGAATTTAGCTTCTAGAGAATCAGGAAGAAGCCAGCACTCGTTCTATAGTAAGCAGATAAGTGTAGACTTTGGTCTTCTTTTCAGTGATACCTGAAAATTTTGTCCCCAATAACTTGCTAGTTTCACTGTCCTCACCAGCACATTCTAAGTAGAGGCAGCACAGGTCTCACCTGGTTTGTATGTCACTTTTAATACTTTGTAAGTAAACAAATGTAATAAATTGTTTTATTGATCACTAGAACCTGCAAACCAACCAAAACTCTTGGCTGCATAGCTCAAAAACAGAGCAGAACTCTTTTAGTATCTGGGGCAGACACCCTTCTCTGGGTGCCCTCCCTGAAGACGATTAGGAGGGTGACTACCTGGAGAAGGGCCTTCTCTGTGGTGGCACCTCAATTGTGAAATTCACTCCCCAGAAAGTTTTCCCTGGTGCCATGACTTTATTCTTTTCAGCACCAGGCTAAACCTTTTTATTTTCCCAATGTTTTAAGACCTGTTTTAATTGGGGTTTTATTATTAAATTTTAGTTTGCTGTGCTTTAAAAAATTTTTTTACATTTCGTATTGTTAAACTGTCCCAAGACTTTGGTAATGGGACGGATGGTCCACAAAAGTTTTCAATAAATAAATAAAACGTAATTCCAGTATATTTAATATACATATGAAACTGAATCTTTCTGAAAAAATTAAAGCTTCTACAATATTTAAGCTTGCACAAGGTGTGAACCATCAGACTTAATGGAGCCCATCATCTGTGCACCATGGCTTTGACAACTTACCTGATTTTGTAGTTCTGGGAAGGCAGCAAGAGAGTTTTTCAAGTCCCCAGTGGACTGAGTTCAGCTTGTTGAATCACAGGCTATGCAGCTTTGACAGAAACTCTGAAGAAGTCCAGATAATAATCTTTACCATTTGTACAGCACTTTAAAATATGGTGCACTTTTACACTATAGCAACTATGTTATATAGCTTGGAATTATATCTGTATTGCTTATGGGGGTTAATAAAAGTGTTATCTTTTCTGCGCAAGAGCTGTCCTGGTTCTGAATATCCTCTTCCTCCTGTGTATCATGGATCCGGTCATGTTCAGACCTAACTCCAAACATAATAAAATGCAATGGCTTCATTCTGACTGTAGATAGGCTGCACATAACTGAATAGCCTTCTATATCAAAAAAACACATGATATTATCTTTCATATGCTACTTTACTCTTTCCACAGCAGTTTCTCCACAGTGGATGATTCAGTCATGCAAGTCCCTTCTTGCAAGGGGTACAATGACTTCCCACCTCAGTGAGAAGCTCAGCCCAGGGATCATAAAGGATCCCCTACCTGGAACAGCTACCTGCACCATTAAATTCAGCAGAGGGGATGTGAATCAAGCATGTACACTCCATTGTACACATGGACTGCTCCCTCCCATTTATATGAATGGGAATCTCTGACATGCACAAAATATCACTGTGCAGATTGGAGTTCAAATAGATTTAAGCAAGACATCTTTCAAAATAATCAAACTTCTAAATATGTGCTGTGAAAGTCATACCTGTTGATTTCTAAGGACACCGTTTCCATGTTTTAATCCAAATGCAGAAAACTGTATGAGAAATCATCTGCATATGCTAATGAGTTTTCATTTCTTCCGTTAAAACCATGTTTTGCAAAAAAGCGACATCCATCAGGGGACTGAAAGATGCTAGTTAAGCTTGCAATGCCGCTTCAGCAACAGGAAAATAGAACCCTGCTGTGTGTGTTCTGTGTTAAAGACACGTGCAAGCATAAAGCCATAGCAGCAAGGACATATTCATTTTCTTTTTATTGGAGAAGAAACAATTTGATGCCGAGAGGACATATTATTCTGCTTCTGCCAAAATAGTTTTATTTGCTAAAATCAAGAAGACTGCAATTTGGTACAAAATCATCCTAATTCCAGAGCTCCACTGCACTGGTTTTACAGAGGATTTTTCAGCATTATAATAGCAACAAGTAGGAGACTCAGTAAGGCATGTTTTACTTAAAAACTTTATTATTTTTATTTTCATTACAATTCACAGTTTATACATGGCAAGAACCTTTCTTACCATGTCAACATTCAGAACACTGTGCTGGGGAAATGGAGGGGGATGGGGCCGTTTTCATGAAAGCGCCTGTCCTGGTAATAGTTAATGGAACTTGGCTAATTTGAGATGCACACTTTCGTCAACTCTTCATTGATTGCTAGTATTTACACTGATAACTTAGATTTACTAGAAAACAAGATGAAGCATCCATAAATTTAACATTCATAGTTCATAATGTTATTTGTCAGAGGCTATGGATTTGTTATTTGATTTATGTCCAATTGAAGTCCCATTTTGCTATAAATACTCAGAGCCGAGGTGTGGGCCACAAACGGCTCTGCAGGTGGAAGTCTCCATTATGGCAATGGAGTCTCCACCGTGGTTACGCTTTGAGGATCAGGCTGCCTATTCATCTCTTAAGGGGTATTATATGTATTTTATATACAGCCAGGTTGCAATAGAACAAAACAATTAAAAAGTAAAAGACAATCCATTAGTTTAAATCCTGCATTCCTTCTGGATCTTGCACACATTTAGAAACAAAAGACACAAGAGGCTATAAAATTAAAGTCAATGTTTTTTCTCTCTCTTTACAGCAACCAAAGAAATCTCAAGGATTGGTTTCATATCAGCCTATTCTATCCAAATATTCAGTTGTAGTCAGATTGTGCTATTGGTCGACCATTTCTCATTTCTGCATGAGTGTTCAGATACCATCTATATTCTCGATGTAGAAAGTCACAGTGATGCCAGTTTCAACTGCATTCCCATGTTCGTTCCCAGCTTCAGAGTGGGCCAAAACAGTGTCTGATGTAACATTCAGGAAAGCAATCCAGCAGACAGGATCCCTGTGCTAAAAGAGCATATGGCATGACGTGGCTAGAACAAGCAAAGTTTTGAATCCTTTTCTGCCAGCAGTATCGTGTTCATGAGAAATGGCTCTGCTGCTGTATCAGAATTATTCTGCATTCTTGGTATGTAAATGAGTCTTTTGAATGCACCAAGTTAATATCACCTTTTGGATAATTTAGTAACATAAAATGAGTAATTTTTGGTATGTGATGCATGGGGCTGAACTCTTGACTACAGCGTATGCAATGAGACCTGACTTCGATCCATAAATTCTTCAGGTCTATAGAGTGTACATTTATCATTTGCACCTGAGTAAAAAATCCAAAACAAGCAAACAAACAAAAGAAAAAACTTGCAGGTGGGACACCTTTTGCAACCCTTGGAATTGCAGTGCCTTTAAAGCTAGACTTAGGAGCGGTGCTTTGATGTCCTTGGATTTGGCATCTGACTCTTATCACTGGTGTCCTCAGCTTTAGACACCCCTAAAAACATGATTGTTTTGGGCAAGATGAAATAACAAAATGAGATATGTAACTCATGCAAGAACTAACAAACAAACAAACAAAAATCCACATGAGAGTTATAGAGGTTCTGTTTTTTAAAAGATAAGGCACTGACAAAAATTTCTTAGGTAAAAGGCTGCATAAGATTTTCTTGCCATTTACATATAGATAGTAGTCCATACATGGTCCATTCCTAGGCTTGGTAAGGTAGACCCTGAAAAGTTTAAAGGACTGATCCCTCAAAGCTACATTGTTAACCTAAACCAGCATTATTCATTCTTAATGCCTTATGGCACATTAGGAGAGATGAAAAAACAGTCTGGGCACAAAAAAGGCTTCGGACATTGCTTTTCCAGCATTTGTCAATGACAGAAGTGCCATTTATTTTGTGTCTTTCAAGAAATAGGAGGGTGACTCTGAATCCTTACTGTGGGTGGATTTTTCTTGGAACTCATGCACGTGATTTAAAAAATGCTATTAGCATCAGTTATGGACAGGAGGAAAAAGATCAGGAACTACAAGGTAAGTCTAACCCATAGGCGTCTTCTTATTAAAAGACCAGGATTCAAAGTCAGTGCTACTTAATGTTTTCAATAACAGCGATTTCTTCAGCTGCACAGTGAGGCGTCAAGCCATTCATGTAAATGCTGTCTGTCTTTGTGATGGCAGGCAAGAGATCTTTCTCGCTGGTGAGGTGGTTAACAGACAAGGTTCTCTTGCAAGGAGTCAGGTCTTGGCTGTGATTCACTGCCATTTCTGCAGACAGCTTCCTTTTGATGGAGGTAGCCCGCTGGAACTTGTCATAAATCTCCACACTCAGGCGCCTACGTGTTTCTTTGAACTCTGCAGTGACATTGGCTGTCCATTCAGCTGCATGAGCTCTGAACTCTCCCACCTAATGAACATAACAACAGAGGAAAAGAGAGAGAGGCAGAAAGAGAGGGGAGGGGATGATTGGGGGGAGGGGGGAGCGAGAGACAGGGATGGGGAGAGAGAGAGAGAGAGAGAGAGAGAAGGATGACGTTGCTCTGCTGGTAAAAAGGTGTGTGTGTGACCCAAGGCTCCAAAGGCACAAAGCGTCCAGCCTGACCCAAGACTGACAATGAACAGCTGCCTATTGGCACAGCTCTTTTGTTCCTCAAATATTCCCTTTGATCAATGCTCAGTCTCTAATTATTTTGTTCCACTGGAAGAATTCAGCGGCCATCTTACTAATAGAATAAAACAGGGCACACAGCAACAGCTAAAATCTCTGCAGCTAAAACATTTCACAGCTCTTTTTATAATCTCATCTAGGCCAGGGAGGTGAAATTGCCTTTAAAAACTAAGCCCCGACAGCTGAGAGGGTCCCAGCTGGACAAAGAGCACTGAATTCCCAGCAATCCAGACCTCGTGTTATGAGGTGTTGCCAGGGGAGTTGTCGTGGTTATTTACGGATGCCCTGGCTGTATGTGTAATGATCCCTGTGAGACTCAACACAGGCGTTTCTAAATTTAGATGGAAAGGGCTTTTAAAAGAAAAATGTCAGCTGCCGGTGTTCTATTTTTAGCACACATTCAAACAGAGGATTAATGCAAGTGACAGTTTTAGTCAAGTCAGCAGAATGATTGCCAGTCTCTCTCTCCACTGCAGTAACAAGATTGCAATAAGAAAAGTGGAAAGTGCAAGGGTGCTGGAATAACATGGTGCCTGCCACGAATGCTTTCAAATCTATCAATCACTCACATACACCCAGCACATGCATACTAGTCCTAGACCACTGCTGTAATGGGAAATATTAAAATGTTTTCCTTTAACCAATACATGCTAATTAAAACTTCTGTTTTGTAAAATTTGATTTATACGTTCCCCATGTGTTTGGCTAGCCACTTGGGCTAATGTTTTATTTATCTGAAATGCTTTAATCTAGTGTTTTGCAGAATCTTAATTCATGAGACATCTTACAATATATTTAGAAACACGAATATATAAAAGCAGACAACTGGTACCAACAAATCAAAGCTAACTATGGATTCAAAGTGATTAAAAGAATGATAGGATTAACCATCAACTCTAAGGGCACAACCCTATGGCCTCTTGTTAACAACTGGTGACGGGGAGAGGCAAGATTCTTCGGCCTTCCAGCAAAGAGTTCTGTGACCTTGGGCTGGGACTGCTAAGGCTGAGCCACATCCCATCACTCTTGCAGCCAGCATGGAAAAAACTGCACTAGCTGCCTCTTGGAGAGCACTTCAGAGAGTGGGAAATGGAGTGTGTTGGGGAAAAAAGGGGGCTGGGGGAGGAAGGCTACACCAATTCCTATCAACATCCTAGCCTCCCTCTCCCTGGCACAGTAACTTGACAACTGAAAAAACCTTTTTCCAGCCATTGTACCCTCATACAGGAGGTGTCTGTGGCTACCTGCTAAAGTGATTGCTTCCGCAGAGCATGCAGACTGCAGATTTGCTTGGGATGGTGATGCTCAAACATACAAAATCTTCTTGCATGGCAAGTAAACTTTACTTGCTTGCCTTAATTCAGTTCACATACAACCTCCCATTTACCATCTGGCACTCTGTTCTTGTTTCCCAAATGCAAAGAGTTCACCTTGGGGGCCCAGAAGGATATCAGGCAGCAGAGACAACTAGTAAAGACAGAATGGACTCAGTAGGTTCACCTTCTTCCCTTAACTGTTGGCAAATTGTATTGCCAGTGCACTGACACTGGGAGCATCTTTTGTGCCATATAGCACAGGAGTTGAACTAAAAACCCTGTAATCCCATACTTTCATTGGCAGGGTAGGTTAAACTGCTTCTATTGTAGTTCCAGGGTAGGGTGGCCACTTACAGATTGTCAAGAAAAAGGAAATGAGGAAAGGAAACATTGGCTATAATGGGAAAGGGAGCCGGTAACAGGCAATCATATCCCAATGAATTCAGCCTTCCATGTCCCCAAACCACACTGTGTTATCAGTCCCTTAGCTACTGCACTACCAGTGACTGCTGAGACAATTCTGGTAGGTAATTTGGGTAATACAAGTATGATAGCTGTTTTGGTGGTCTACTCATGGTGAGAACAGTCAATTGTCTTGTTTCATGTCTTGTTGTTGGCTCTTGTTGCATGTAAGCATAAGGCTCTTACATGGGAATTTGCTTTAAACCAAGTCAGACGGGTCCATCCAAGTCCATCCATAGCTTATTGACAACATGGAGTGGCATGGAGTCTATCCAGGCTTTCAGGCAGATTTTTTTAAATGGCTCTACTTGGAAATGTTCCTGGTGTCTACATGCAAAACATTTGTAGAAGACCTCCTGTATATACAACCACTGTTCTGTGAAACCTCCCTTGACTTTCCCAGATTCGACCACCCTTCTTAACTGACTATGAGTATTTGTAAATTTAAGGAAGAGACTGGTAACATAATGCCAACTTTATGGTCACTCCATTAAAGCTGAGAGCAGGCAATACATGAACATTTTACTTAAACCCCAGCTTGAATTATTTTCATGAATCATTACTTTCAGAGAAGAGGTATACACTGCTGATTGAGTAATTTCAAGTGAATGTCTTTACAAGAATTAAAGCACTTAAATAAATTAGCCTAATTGTAGAATTTTTAGTCATTGGCAAGTGAACTGAAATTAGCAAGTACACATCTTTTGGGTAAAAATTCAAGTAATATGGATTCTGAAGATGTGCTATTGAAAGAGTGCACTACTGGCCTGAAATAAAGTCAGCATTATGCCTGTATGCGTTTTCCAGTCTAAATCAGGACCATAGATACTGGTGAACTATAATCAATGTATTGCAAGGAATGTTTTCTACCAGGGTCCCCATACACATTCATTCTTTTTAAAACCTGCAATTATTGTTTTCAAAAGCGTGACTCATTTTGTGAAAGGTTTCACTTACAGAATGCAATGAAATGCCTCTGTCTGGTATGGGGCTGCTCAAGCCCATGCAAACGGTGAAGCAGAGACACCACTGGAAGTCTCTCTCCCTCTCTAACGAACATATAGAGGGGACTGGGGAATTCATCGTGCACAGGGATGTGAATATTCCTCCCAAATGGCAACCTCCCAAGATACCCCTTCTTCCATATAGCAATTCAGTTGAGAACAAATTTCCTATTAACACCAGTTCACGAAGTTTTCTGAAGCTTCACTGCCATGTAGGGTGGTGGTGCTGATCTGTGCTTTTGCAACACAGAGAGAAGGAAGGGTTCACCCATCTCTCCTCAGCTATGAGCTTCCAAAAATTGTTTATCCTCCCCACTCCTGACAATGAAGTTTAGAAAAGCCTTCTATGGGCACCAATGGACACTCAGAGCTCCTGGAAATAGGACTGGGGCCGTGAGGAAGAGATTCAGGGCCAGGCGCTTGTATGTTCAGGTCTCTCAATGCTTGTCAGGCTGTGCTTTCTTTCTTTTTAAAAAGGTGCCTTTCTTTTAATTCTTTCAATAATCACATTTGCTAACACTGACCCTCTATTAGGTAGAGTGAAGCTTCTGCCTAAGGCATGTGATTTGGGTTGCCATTAAAGGGCAGCAAATGCTTCATTACTTAATTTAGTCTATTGTATAAAAAGCTGGAAGATTCATTTGTGTTTGCTAGTAAAAAGAAGGATAACTCATTGCTGAAGATTATTGCTCCTCGGGAGGAAGAGGTTAAGTTTCTGGAATACATTGAGCTGTAAATAATAATAATAATGATAATCGTAATCATCTTTCCAGCAGACTAGGGAAATGTTTCCTTAGCTATCAGGTGCTGTTTTCCCCTCTCCCTTTAAAGAAAATAACCTTCCCTGCCCTGCAACTGTGCCTTGGGGATGGGGTGGCACCATTTGCTGCTCTGCTTCAGACAGCAAAATGTCTTGTTCCAGCACTGTCTATGCCGAGGGAGTCCTCCGGGTAAGTAGAAGCTGTAGCCACCTTTCTGGGTGACCCATTTCACTTTCAAACTTGATCAGGTGGCTTCAGCATTAGAGCAAATGATAATGAATATGGTACCAAGACCTGTTTATGTGATCCTTGGCACTAAGGTTACGCATGAGAACCACATGTTTCAAACTACTCCTACAACAGTAGTTGTAGAAATGTAAATATTTATTCATTCATTTTTACACTACCCAATAGCTGAGGCTCACAGCCACTGGGCAGTATAAAATACATAGAACTCAAGACACAATTCTATGCAAGGTTGGACAGAAAAGCGGCCAACAACTTCTTCAAGTTGTACATCCTTTTATTGTCCAAACTCGCACAGGATTCTGCCTTCAGTGTTTGTTAGCTTTTATATTTCTTTGTACAGCAGACTAGATCATATAAATTATTCCTTTAAATTATTCCTTCCACATTATTCCTTTAAAATCCTCATCTTGAAAGCACAATGAGAACATGTACTTTACCAAAGTCCAGCAACACTTCTTGAATTAAATGGTGCGAAACATTTTCACAACAAGAAGTAAAAAATGTTTGAATACTGGAGTCTAAAGTTGTCACTACCCCTGTGCAGCCTGCCTACATTAGGAATATTTGAGTTATTTAATTTCCTGAGCTCCTCATAGAACAAATTTCTGAGTGGAGGAGGAGTGAGCAACTACAACCCAAACCCCGATGTCTCAGTATTACCTACTTGTTCTGTCCTGATTTGGTTGACTAGCAAGTTCTGAAGGGAGCATCTACTTGTGTTTGCTTGAATAGGAGAAGCAGAAGCAGTGCCAACTCAAGGCTTTTGAGCAAGACTTCAACAAGAACTTTCTCCTTTCATGAATCTACTTTCTAACTGCCTCTGCCACTAGCTCCTACTGCTGGTCCTCCTCTTTCTAATTTTTGCTACCGTGTGCTTGCTTCTCAGACAGAGAGAGTGAGAATGTAGGCTCTACTGTGTCTCCACTCACCCACCATGTTGTCTGGGT